TTTCAAAACTTTCCAATCGTAAAATGTTATCGCATTGTGTTCTTTGTTAGAGTTCACTTTGAATGAAAAAGTTGAATTCGTCAAAGCTCTGAAAGTTGGTCAGTCTCAGTCAATTTCTACTGAGGGACGAGTTAACTAAATGCAAAGTGGTCATGTCCAAGTAATAAATAGTTATTGTCCCCAAACCAGGTAAACTTCTTGAAATTATTCATTTTTTACATTATTTCATGACATGTTTGAAAAATTCATTTAAGACGATCTAATCGGGTGACAGCATTTTAAAGTAGAAATTAAGTACCGATTGACCAATAGTTTGCCAATAGCCTTCAACTGTCAAAATCGTCCCTCAAGGTCAGGATAAAAGGGGGCTTTTTATTGGTTCATGCAACTGGTCAATTTAGCCCGCTTAACACCTTTATTCTGTAATTTCGAACGGAGCATAATGCATCAAGGAGTCGCCATTATAGACGTGGCCTTAGTTAATGGGTCACATGTGGAGAGAATCTGATGGTGAACGTTAAGTAAGTGATTGAAATCTCTGCCAAAACATTGCTTTGGTTCCTGCCTCAATCACCTTCACAGGTAGCCACATTTCAGTCTGATAAAAGTAGTTTCAGGTTTACACTATTGATTATGCAAATGCTTCCTTAATTACAGCAATTCTTTCAGTAGAGTAGAAAGCTGCATTAATTAATATAAGTGAGCCAGTTAATGACGCTAAAACGATAATTCGAATCAATACTTTACTAGGTCCAAGTTTCTTCGCTTTACGACTGCAAAGGGAGAGCAAACAACTGCAGAGGAAATCTGGAATGCACGATGCAAATCGTTAATTACTTATACTTCATGCAAATGTAATGAAAGAGCACTTACTTCACGCCGAATGTCTACACGGAAGAATAGTAAATGTGCAGTTGTCGTAGGCACGTGAATATAAGCCATGAATACACCTGATGATATATCGTCAGCCGAGACTAATTACCTGAGAGTTAATCTATTTATCTAATTGAAACGCATTTAGCTACATTTATTTATTCAACTGATGATTACATTCATTGGGCTACATATGCTTGTTGTTTTTCTATACAAATTTCGAATATATACTTCTCATCGAAATTCATGCAGCAGGGACATAATAGCTCCAGAAGAAGAAAGTGTAGAAGCGTTGCCATGATGAAGCAACACTTCACCGTGAAAGTTTTCTCACCGTCTCTAGGCAAGTGTTATATTCAAAGTCTTCAAAACGTCTTCATATCAACTCTAGGTGATCGTTTTCTGCCTGTTATCAAGGTACCTCTGATGACATGTTTGAACTCAAAAATTTGTGAATCATTGTTCTATTTTAAGTGACAGAATGCGAGTGTAAACTTTATTCATTTTCACATGAAATCTGCTAAAACAAGTTGGGATGGGAAACATGATATGCATCATAGTGTTTATCCCCAAATTCATGCTAAGATACTAGAATTCTCCTCGTTGAGGTTCAACCCAGTGGAGAGGATTTGTCCAGAAGGAAGTGGGAATTTGTTATAGAACACGATTTCTCAGATTGTCGGAATTCATTGCTTACCCAATAATCGAACTGAAATGTTCAGTCTTAAACTGAGCAGTCAGTTTACCATAGAATTGCTCGCTCCTCCTAATTAACTGCCTTTTCCCTCTGTCTATAACAAGACAAGCCAAAGTAATCCCACTATTTGTGACTTATTTCAATATCTTTTCCGACATCCAATTCCAGATACTAATAATTTACCTTGTGCGGGCTAACTTCATACTTTTGAAATTCCAGTCAGCATTCTTTTTTAGAAGCAGAACACATTTAGCCGCCTTCAAAAGGCATTGCAATATAGATTCTATCGTGTTTATTCACTAACCGAAAAGTCGAGCTCATTGACGCATTCATTAAAGGCTCCCTCAGAAGTGTTATTTAGCAACTATCGCACATTAGTGTTAATCTTACCAAATACTGCCACTCTCAAATCACGTTTCGATTTCATTATTTGTGAATGGTTGAAATTGTGTTTATCAATCCACACTACAATCTCTGTCTTGTTTCATCGATATTAGCCGCACAGTTCTTCAATGACAAAAATCTTATTTTTCCAAATGGGTGACTTAAATCTTATAAGTAGATGCATTTTGCAGCTAAGGGCACAAAAATTACACTGATGTTTTGAGTTTCCACAGCATACAATAGGAAAACGAAATGTACAGCTTCTTCGTTCAGCTTCCAGCCAAATACTTATGATATCCGCATAAGCAAATATAACAGTTTCCTGAAACTTAGATGTCCACTGGATAGTGTTAAATTGTCATTAACACTAATCTGGGGTGAGACTACAACTTCAACAGCCCCGAGACAGCTTGATTGTATTTACCGGTCGTAATACTACTCCTGACACAACTTCAAGGTGTCTATTTTTGTCACACATCAACTAAATGCACTTCTCTCCCATTCCCACATGTTGCTTCCTTCAACCTTCCAGTTTTATTGTCCTAGACGAACAATTTTTAGTCTCTTTTTATATGGATTCAAGAGAGGAAGAAAGAAAGGTTGAAGAGGAAAAATGTAATCCCTAAGAAGAGAGCAAAAGAGGATGTAGGAAAAGTTTAATGACATGATTCAAATGTTACATGAAAGTCACATTTCTGCAGCAGTTTTATTAGATTTTGTAATTCATTTTAACACAAGCTTAATTTCTATCGTGTTTATTTTCCATGGATGATTTCGGTTTGAACTAACAGTCGTTTAACTATAGCGTCGTTCAACTTGTCCTAGATTTGCTCAATGAATATTAAAATAACATTCCCGCTTCCAGGTGATCATTGACCATCGATATTCAGCGAAGCAAGAAACGCTATGTAGAGCATGTTTGGCGCTCCAACAAATCCACCGCAAAAAGGATACAGTGACATTCTGGCATGACAATAGCTCAGGAAAAAAATAAAGGCATCTCATAGCTTCGAGAATAGTTAGCTAGAATTGAGAACCACGTTTATATGGCGGAATTGCAGGCGAAATTGCAATAACAATAATAACAATAATGATAATAATAATAATCTAATGAGTGCAGACGTGATATATATTATAACCCCAATTCGAGAAAGCTTGCAAAAAACAGAAATAGGAAGTTAATGGATTGAGGAAACCATATTGTTTTCAAGCACTTTAACAAACTAGAAAGACACCTAATCCAAAGTACAAGATATTAGTAGGGCAAATATCATTGGTATATGTTTACCCAATGGTATTATAGACGTATTTGTGAGACATTAGAACCACGTCAACAGACTCGAGTCAAATTATGCTCACTGTATACACATACGGAAGACCAAATGCTTTTGTCTCTAAGCATAAAGCCACAAAGAGTAAAAGAGGAAAAGTATCTGGCAAGAATAACACTTAATTGAGTAAGGATAGAGTATGAGAACTGAATTAAGAAGAGGAAAGTTGGCAATGATGATTAAAGGGTTGTAAAGTGAGGATAAAAGGTTTCGGAGGATTAAATGAGTTTACAAATGAGTTCAGATATCTGCAAGCCGTGTATGAAAACTTTGACTTAAGCATGAAAGTAATGAATCTTGCGAACTTCAGAAATTTTGTGAGGCATCAATCGCTGAAATAATCTTTTAATGAATACGTCCTAGCAGAAAGAATGCAAGCAATTGTTATTCTAGTGGCCAATCACATTCTCATGTCTCAACTTTGCAAAAATGCTTATATAACTCCTGCGTTCTATAGAAATCAGAAGCCAGGCATCCAGGATTTGTAAATGCTGAAAGAGACTGCTCGAATCCTCCCTTGGAATTCAATGCCAGTGGTTATTCGTCAATTGCATGGTCAGAAGAAGAGAGTGGAAAATTTACCAGGGAAGAATTAAGGCAACTCACTATCAATGCCGTGTTTCTTACATATTGCCTCTCAGTAGGTACCTGCTTAAAACTTACAAGGCCACTTGTCTTGGCAATTTCAATCAATGTTTAACCTTTTCACAGTTGAGTGGATATCCCATGAAGTGATTTAACGAAGCAAAGAAGAACTTCCATGACTATCCTTCCTCCACAAATAGACCAGTTATCATTCCTGCAAGTTGGATTGCCGCCTGGATGCTATATCACTTGAAAGCTGTACCGCTCAGTTCAACTCCTTATGTGGAGTACAAAGGGCGCTCGAAAAAGGTCACAATTGCACAGAGCATTTATCCAACCCCAACCCTCATCAAACATTCCTGCAATCCTTCTGTCTCTCTAGGGAATACTGCAAACGGAGGGGTGTTTGTCTACGCTGTGCGTTCACTACGAGCAGGTGAAGAAACCTCCATCACACTCGGACCCCACTTTGCTGAAATGAAGGCTAATGAACGAAAGTCCTTTCTCAAAAAGCATTATCGATTTGATTGCTCGTGTGAAGCCTGTTGCAATGAGTGGCTCTTGAGGGAGGGAGAAGAGTTGATCAAATGTCCTTCATGTCAACACCTCAACATTAGCCGTGCTAATAAGTGTTCGCGTTGTAAGGAGAGAAGTGGGATTAGTATTTATAAACTTCTGATGGGAAAGGACATGCAATTTCTTGCAGATTGCGTGGATAGGAATGAATGGAGCAGCGAGAACATACTTAT